CATTGGGCATGGCCGGAGTGAGAGACCCTGTAGGTAATGTGCTTGGTGTATTTTCATGCCAGTGGCGTTCATTCTGGGCAGTGGGCCCTCCGGTGTCCTCCGGGGTGTGGGAGGCATTGTTAGGTGTCTGGTTCTCCTCTCCTTCTGGGCTGGGCCCACCCCCCAGACCCCCACCACAGGTCGCAGGTCGGTGTGCTCCACGGTCTTGCTTTGTCTAGTGAGACGTGAGCAGATGTGATGTGTCACCTGTGAGCTGAGCCTCTCAGAGCCGGTGGGACCCCGCTGCTCTGCTCCTCTGCCGTGTCACGTTGACATGCGTGGCACCTCCCTTGGCCCGGGACCTGGGTGACTGTGACAGGCAGAGCCCCTACCTCCAATGCTGGGCCCGTGGTGACTGGGAGCTAAGCCTGGCTGCGTTCAGACACTTGTTACTGCAGCATAACCTAGGCCAAACTGACCTAGGTGGACACACACACAGCCCCGGGCCTCTAGCTGGATTCTGGAATTCTCAGGACCAGGACATGTGATAAGTTCTGCATTTTCTTGGGGTTCTTTGCAGGACTCCAGTTTCCCCTGCTGTCAGCACTGTGTCCTCCATCCTCTGGGTGTCCAGAGCCTCACTCCCATCCTCTCTTCCTGGGCTGAGCCAGGGCCTCCTTTCTCCACCTGTAACACAAATCTGATCTCTTTTTCTGTGAGTTTGTTTGTTTTAGAGTCCACACATAAATGAGATCATACAGTCTTTTTCTTTCTCCGTCTGGCTTCACTTAGCACAATGCCTTCCATTTTCTCCATGTTATTGCAAGTGGCAGGATTTTCTTCTTTTTATGGCTGAATAACATTCCATTGTGTGTATACACCACGTCTCCTTTAACGATTCATAGGTCGAAGGACACCTAGGTTGTTTCCATGTCTTGGCCAGTGTAAATAATGCTGCAATGAACATGGGAGAGCTGATATCTCCTTGAGACAGCGATTTTATTTCCTTCGGATAAATACCCTGAAATGGAATTGCTGGGTCATATGGTAGTTGTATTTTTAATTTTTTGAGGAACCTCCATACTGATTTCCATAGTGGCTGCACCAATCTGCAGTCCCACCAACAGTGCACGAGGGTTCCCTTTTCTCCACATCCTCGCTAACATTTGCTGTCTCTTGTCTTTCTGATGATGACCCTTCTACCAAGTGTGAGGTGACATCTCATTGTGGCTAACGAATTTATTTTAAACCCAATACTTTGGAAAACTAATTTTAAAAGGGCATTTCACAATATTGCCATAAGCGGAATTGCAGTCTGGCTTGCAATGAGTAGCAGATAACTTTAACAAGTTCCATGAAAGTAAAATAAAACAGTCAGTTCTGGCTCCAGAGGCTGCCTGTTGAAGATTGGGGGTAGAGTTTCTTTCTTTTGCAAAAAAGGGAGATCAGCCCATGTTTGTTTGTTTGTTTGTTTGTTTGTTTTTATTGGGGAATTGGGGGAAGGAAAACAGACAAGTTTCTGTCCTTTTGTTCTTCAGTCTAGTTGTGGAGGACGTTGCTTCACTGGCCCAAGTTGGCACCATCATTGTGCTCTTCCCGGGCGAGGCAGATCAGTCGCTGGCTTCTGGACGGCCGCTCATGCTGGCTGCTGGCTACACATGGTAGCCCATGGCAACCCACTGCAGCAGGGGCTGCAGCCTACGCCATTGCTGGCAACTCACGGCAGCCCAGCTCCAGGTTGAGCTGTTGTTCAGCATCTTAGCTGTGGAGGGCAGTGTCACTGGCCCTCATGTGTGGGATCCAAACCGGGGCCCTCTGGTGTCCCAAGCCAGCTCATAACCAACGCGTCACTCAGCCGGCCCAGCCCAAGTTTAAATTGCTGTTAAAGACATGCACTGATGGAGACTTTCTCTTTGCTTTCATCTGAAGAACTGAAGGGAATGAAAACCAGGAATTGCTTTCTCTCCTATGATCTGAGGTTTTCTGAGAACCCGTCGCCCCCCTCTACCACCACCCCCAACCACCACTGAGGCACCTCACTTGAGGGTATCCAGTGGGGCTGTGGCAAGCCACTGGGGGATCTTAAGGGAGGTAGGGTGCTTTTAGAAGGTCTCTGGGGGCCGGGGTGGAGGGGGCCATGCTCTGCATATGACGACACTGTTCCCATCCTCACAGGGCGCCCCCTCTCCATGGCCCTCCATGGACGTACTGTGGGAAGAGGACCCGGGTTCGAATCCTGCCCCTGTGACTGGAGTGAGTGTGCTCTTCCCCACCTCAGCCGCCCACTCCGGGGAACTGGGCCGGCCCTCCTGGGCTCAGGGAAAGGAAAAGCATTCGGGAGAGGCAGAAGGAAGCGAGAGCGCTGCTGAAGGATCTGGAGCACCCGTGCACACACGGGTGAGGCATGGTTATCCCCGGCGGGGCCTGCGAACGAAGCCTGCCCACGGCCCTGCCCGCGGCCCAGGCGTCCCCGCGTGGCTGGGGACCAGCTGCAGGAGCCAGAGCGAGCCTGTCAGGTGGGAGTCAGCCTCCACGCCGTCCCCCAGATCTGAGACCTTGGGCAAGTCTCGTAGCCTGTCTGTGCCTTGGTTTCCTCATCTGGAAAATGGGGACATCACAGTACCCGCCTCACAAGGTTACTGAGAGGGTGAAACGAGATTGACGTGTTTAGCACAGGGCCCGACGCAGAGGTGGCGCTTAGCAGAGGCTAGTGACGAGGCTGAGGAGGATGCTGGTGGAGACAAAGATGACGACGGTGACAGTGTGCGGGGGAATAATGCGGAGCAGGGATGTGTAGACTCGGAAAGCGCTTCCTCACGCTGTCTCTCACAGTTACGTCCTCACAGCTCAGAAGCATCCAGGGCAGATGTGTGAGTGGCCCCAGAGCCTGGAGCGTCCTGGATCCACAGCTGGACCCTGCGCTGGGCTGTTTACAGGGCTGCCTGCCAGCAAAGTACAAAGTTTGCACGCCGGCACTTTTGGGAGGAAGGTGTCTGAGTTTCCATTTACTGGGAAGGGAAGCTGAGGCTTCGAGATGGGAAGTCACTCGCTCTTGGTCGCACAGAAAGTTGATTGTGGGGCCAGGAGTTGAATCCAGGTCCGTCTGGCCCCAAGGGCTGTGTGTGTTTTTGTGCACATACGTGCACTCTGGGCACATGTGTATGCAGTGTGCACATGTGCTCATGTGCATATTTACACGTGTGTTGCATGTGCACGTGTGTGTTGGAGCCCTCCAGGCAAAGCAACAGGGCCTTGTCAGATTGGTGAGCCAGACTTTTGACAACTGCCTCCTAACTAGCCTCTGGCCTCCGCTCTTACCCTGATCTAGAATATTCTCCAAGCAGCAGTTAAAACCTAGGTCGTGACATGGCCTCCTCTTCTCACAGCCCTCGCAGGGCTCTCAGTGCCCCTCAGAGAAAAGTCCCAGTCTTGCGGTAGCCTCTCAGATTCCCACTCTATCCCATCACCTCTCTGCTCATCTTGACTCTTACCTCCCCCAGCTGCTTGACCAGCCTTACCGCCCCTCACCGTTCCTCCAACGTGCCCCAGGGCCTTTGAACCGGCTGCTCCTTCTGCTTGGGATAGCCGCGCCCCAGACACTGCTGAGGCTCCCTTCCTCACCTCCTTCAATCTTTGCTCAAATGTCTTTTCTCAACACGACCTCCCCTGACCCCCCTGTTTAAAACTGCAGCCTCTATCTTCTCTCCCACTCTGGCCTCTATTTGTATAGTCTCATGCACGCAGCGCTTTCTAGTCACTGCAGAACTTACTGTATTGATTTTCTTTATTGCCTCTTTGCCTGCTGGGAGGTCGGCTTCAGGGGGCATGGAGTTTGGCCTGACTGTTCACTGCTGCCTCCCTGGTGCCTGGTACATGGTAAGTGTTCAATGTTTGTTGAATACATGTTCAGATGATGAGGGAAGTGCAACCTTTTCTCCCTGCCCATTGGGGCCTCCCAGGGAGGGGCCGGAGCGCGCGCGTGTGTGTGTGTGTGTGTGTGTGTGTGTGGTGTCCTTTCAGTCATGTCTTCTCAGGAACAGATACCACCAAAGCCAGGCAGAGGGTGCAATTCCCAAGGTATTTTGGCAGCAGCTGCTCTGAAAGGGCTGTTTCCGCCAGGGCAGATTGGCAGGAAAACCAGAGTCAGTGCAGTGTGGGAGATAAGCAAGTTCAAGAGAAGACACTGAGATAAGGCGAGTTCCAAGCAGTTCTTGTGAATTTGATGGGCAGGTGAGGGGAGCAGGCAGGTATCCTGCCAGGGCAGCTGAAGCTGGCAAGGAGCCCGCTTGGATGAATGGATACATGAAACATGGTCTAAGCCCTACAACGAGGTATTACTCAGCCTTACAAAGGAAAGGGGTGAGGTTCTGATTCAGGCTGCAGCATGGATGAACCTTGAAAGCTTCATTCTAACTGAAAAGAACCAGTGACAAAGGTGACATATTGCATGGTCACACTTTCAGGAAACTTAATAGGCAGATCCATAGAGACAGAACGGTAAGTGGGGGGAGGGGGCAAATGGGGAGCGACTGCTTCGTGGATGGAGCCAGGATTTCCTCCAGGGCTGAGAAAAATATTCTGAAACTGGGCAGAGGTGATGGTCGCACAACACTGTGAATGAACCGAAAGCCGCCGAACTGTTCTCTTTAAAACGGTTACTTTTGTGCTACGTGCCTTTTACCCCAATTAATAATAATACGAAAAGCTGAAGAACCGCGTCCTCTGACGGCCCCCCCTGCAGTGGTGCCAGGTGCTCTCAAGCCATCACAGCAGCATCTCTGCTCTGCAGGTCCTGAGGTGACTTTAAGGGCCACAAGGACACAGGCTGAAGTAACCGAGTCCCTGGGTGAGCAGCTGCTTCTCTCTGCTCAGCCCGTTGATCCCATCAGAGAGAGAGCCCTGGTTGGGTGTGAACAGGTCTCTAATGCTGGCTGGTGGCCCTTTTAAGAGACAGAGGGTGGGCCTTGGCCCCAGAGCGCACGGCAGGTAATGGGACATGCATTTGCTTTTGTCGTGCTTACCTTTACGGCATCTTTCATTTCTGGCCTTTAAAACGACAGGTCCACATCCTAACCCCCAGCACCTGGGCATATGTGACCTTATTTGGAAAGAGGGTCTTGCAGATGCGATGAAGTTAAGGCTCTCGTGATGAGACCATCCTGGATCACCGTGGGTCCTAAATCCAATGACTGGTGTCCTCATAAGAGAAAGGAGATTTGACACAGAGGCACCGAGGGAAGAAGGCTGTGGGAAGACAGAGGCAGAGATTAGAGTCATGCGGTCAGAAGCCAAGGAACGCCAGCAGTGCCAGACGTCAAGAGAGAGGCAGAGATTAGGGTCTCCCCACTGGAGCCCCAGAAGGGAACTGGGAGGCAATCCACCTGACCTGGTGATCTTGGGCCTCTGGCCTCCAGAGCTGTGAGAGAATCCATTTCTGCTGTTTTAAGCCACCCTGTTGTGATTTGTTACAGCAAGGGGCACTGGGTTTCTGTTTCCCTTCTATTTATGTATTTATTATTATTATTATTATTATTATTATTATTAAAGCCTCCCTTTTAAATACGGGTGACCCTTGAGCAACACTAGCTCGAACTGCATCCATCCACTTACACACGGGGTTTTTTCAATAAATACTGTAGATGTGTTTTCTCTTCCTTGTGATTTTCTTAACATTTTCTTGGGTTACTTTCTTGTAAGACTACAGTATATAATACATACAACATGCAAACTATATGTGAATTGACTGTTTTATGTTATTGGTCAGGCTTCCGGTAAACAGCAGGCTATTTAGTCAAGTTTTCTGGGGGGAGTCAAAAGTTATACTCAGATTTTCAACTGCATGGCGGGGGGCAGGTCGGCGTCCCTAACCCCTGCGTTGTTCAAGGGTCAGCTGGACATTGAATTTATAATTCAAGAGTCAAGTTCAGGTGTTAAGTGCGTGTGTGTTCAGGTGGGCACATGCTATACTGTCCAGAGGAGAATCAGGCCGAGCTGGGTGGTGCGTGGCCCAGGAGGAGGGTAAGTGGGGGCCAGAGGGGAGGTTTTGGGGAGGGGCCGGGGGGGCGCAGTGGCACAGCAGCGCAGCCCCGGGGCCTCTCGAGGGCAGGGAGGCGTCACACTGCCCCATCCCATCTGCACGCTGGAGTCAATTCCCAGCTAGGCCCGTGTGTTCCCGGGGACTCAGACACACCTTCCTTTGGAGAAAAACACTTTAGATAGGGTTTTTTTTTTCCCCACCACCCTGAAGTACCCCAGGAGGCAGGACAGGAAGGGGAGGGGCCCCAAAACGTCACTTGCAGGTCAGACACTGCCTACACTCACCTGTCCTCCCATCTTCCAGGCGCCATCAGAGGACACATTGACCGGCCTGTTGGCACCTCCACCAGGGGAGACCCCTAAACTCTCGCTGGCTACTGGATGGGCCCCTGGGAAATACTGGGCCGTTTCCAGCCAGAGGGAGGGTCCACATGCTGTGCGTGAGGCCTCTGCCTTAGAGACGAAGAACCGCAGCTTGGGAGAGGCAAAGTGACTGGCCCAAGGCCACCAAACAGACCACAGCCATTCCTGGGTTTGAACCGGGGGCTGGGAAGGGGGTGGGGAAGCTCCGCAAGGTGGAGGGGGGGTCTCGGGCCCAGGGCCCCCAGGTCCCCAGGCACTGGCCCTGAGCTGAGCACTCTGCCCGCGCGACTCCCTCTGTCCCGACCACCGAGGCAGGCCTGGTCCTGCTCTCATTGTGCAGATGAGGAAACCCCAGCACAGAGAGGTGACCGGGCCACGACCACACGGGCTCTGCCTCCTGAACAGAAGCCAGCATTTTCCTAAGAGCCAGGAGGCAGAAGAGGAAAAGCCAGTGTTCTCTGAGCAGCCCTCTGTGCTCACAGTGCGCAAAGGGCCTTCAGTCAGGCACCATGTCGGCGTCTCAGTGACCAGGTCTGGGGCGGCATATGGTTCTGGCTTGCACACAACTGTTCCAAGTGATTCCGAAACCATTCACGCCGGGAGAACCCCAGCTTCACCTCCTCCTTCCTGCAAACAGCCAGGGGCACGCGGCCCAGCAGCCCGGGCTCTGTGTAAAGAGGCCAAGGCCTGGGCTTGCCGTCCAGGCACCTTGGGAGGGCCGCCGAGCCCCACGGGGCCTGTCTCCCACAGCTGCTGTCCCTGGTTCCACCACCCTGAGGCCTGTCTTCCACCGTCTCCCTGGTATCCTTCCAGCAAGTTCCTTTTTCTAAACTCATCAAGACGCATTACTGCCCATGTGCCCACTGCTATGGGGACAGGCGAGGCTGCAGCCAGCAGGCCACGGTGCAGAGCGGGACCCGAACGCCTTTGCGGCTCCGGGCCTTGTGGGCTGACATCGGAGGAGCTGGCTTTGGATAAACCCAGGCCAGGAGGGGAGGGAAGCCCTGCTGGCGGCCAGTGTGAGCCTGGACACTGAGGGCCGGCCTTCCGCGTGGGCTCCCACCTTCCGGCAGCATCGCCTCAACCCCTGGCACGAGACGGGGACCAAGGGCGGGGTTGCCCCGTTCACTTTGGACCCAATTCGGGCTTTACCTCAAGGCCCAGAAGGTCCGGCTGCTTCAGGGCCCGGCTTAACCTGGAACATCAGGAGTTTCTGTAAGAACCCATTTCCAGGGGGGTCCAGGCTCACGCTGGTGTGTTCTGGGAGGGGCCTGCCCCAGCGCAGACTTCACGGATGCCGTCCTGGGTGGGGAGCCCTTCACGCTTCCCCAGCCCAGCAGCGTTTCGCAGCCACAACACAGATGCTCCCTGTGCCCCGTGCTGGGCCGCTAACGGCACCGTTCCACACGTGCGACTCCTGAGACTGCTGAGGAACCACCTGACCAGCAGGCGAGAGAACAGCGTGGACCAAACTCGCTGCACCTGGGAGGCGGGGGTGGGGGGGTGGGGCACTTTCTGGACGGAACCCGCCGCACCTGCGTTTCCCAGCCTTTGGTGGGAAATGTCCCATCTCCATGTTAGGAAATGGGGAAACTGGCCAGGCTGGGGGGCAGGGAGGGGCTGTCCATTCCCCTGCGAAGCTGCAACAGGCTGAGGGGTTGTCGGCAGAGAACCTTCCCTTTGCAGGCCACGGCCTCCCCGCCACACTCCCAGCAAGCAGCAGCCACATTCTGGTAACTCGTTCTTTTATTGCCAAGTTCCAATTTACAAGGAAGTTCCAGTTTTCATTTCCACCCCGGTGTGCAGTACCCACGAAGCATGAGTCACCCCGGCGGGAGCAGGTACTTCCCTGGCACGGTCCCTCGTCCCAGAAGCAAGAGGTTTCCCACCCCTGCTCCTCCTTGGGACAAGACTTATTTACAGATGTCCAGCTGAGAGGGACACAGGAAACCGTACAGTGTACGCCCAGTGTCAGCATGACTACATGAGACAGTTCTTTATTGCGTCTAGAAAAGATGAGAATCGTTCACCCCGAAGCTTTTTTTTTTTTTTTTTGAGACCTTAGAGACATCTCGCGTGTGTCTGTAAAGGGGTACGTTTCTTCACGCGCCCTGTCCCTTGATAAAGCCGGTGTGCGGGTGGGCAAGCTGCCTTCTGTAGAGGCGGTGAGACGGACAGGCTTGGTGGGGGGAAGGGGCGCGGAGAAGGCCTGCTGGTGCTGAGAGGACCCTCCTGCCCACCCCTCCCTGGGGGGGGCATCTGCCCCACATCTCTCCGTGGCTTTGGGGCTGGTCCCCCTGCTCCTCCCTGGGGTGCTCTTGAGCTCACTCTGTCTGACCTTTGGGGAGAGGCGCCCTCACTTGCTCAAGCCCTCCAACAGGAAAGGACATGCACTTCTCCACAGCGACTTTCAAAGTTGCGGTTTGGGGGTTCATGTGGCCAACCCTGCCCTTGACTTGGCAAACCCAAGGGGCCCCATGTGGACTTGGGGAGGATGGAATCGGCCCCAGCCGCTGCCTCTGCCGGGATGTGGAGATGGGGGGGCTGGATGGGCTGGACCCCGGAATCTAAGTCTAGGCTCTGCTCCATGCTCTCCAAGAATCCTGGCTCTGTGCTCTCTCTCCCAACCCCAGCAAGCCAGCGCTCTGTTTGGACTGGCCAGCCTGGAGCGCCCCCACTGTTAGGTTTGTGGGGTGCTCCTGAAAACACAGCTGTGCCCACTGCCGCCAAGATGGCCAAGACCTGCTGAGGTGGGACCTTCTTCAGAGCCCAGGCCTGCCTCCTCCGGACCCCAGACCTCCCAGCACAAGGACACATGACCTCCTCCTCAGCAACAAGTGGGGCCACCCTGCAAGCTCACCCCCGGGAGAGGCCTGCCCTTGGCCAGGGCCGCGGGGCAGGAGCTGGGCCCAGTCTGCACCTTTCCTTGGACAGTCACGGAGGCCGGGCTGCATTCAGCTCTCCCAGTCCAGGCAGTGCTGCCGCACGTCCCCTGGGCACGCTGTCCCCCTGCCCAAGACCTTTCTCCCTCAGTGCTCGGCAGCCATGAAGCCATTTGCAGCCACTGGATTTCGGACCGCAGGCTGGCGGTCCCAGTGGAGGGCCTGGGTCCACCTGCAGGGCTTGTCCCTCACAATGCCACTGGCTTGGGGAGTCGCTCCTCTTCTCACTCCCGCTGTCCCAGTCATTTGAAAACCAGAAGTGCATGGCCCTGGGCTGGCCTGCTCCCACATCCAAGCAATGGAGGTCAAGCAGGACGCACGGCTGGCGGCTGGCGGCCCAAGGCACCGCTGTCCCTGACGGCACCCTGTCTCCCCATGGAGGGTCCTTCCCTTTCTTCCGTCCCACCTGGCTCTGCTGATGGTCATGGCTTGTCCTCTTCGCTGGGGCCCCTGAATTACTGCCCAAATGGCCTCCTTTCTGAGCTGGGTCTTTTCTTTGTTGAAGCTGGGTGGGCACGGCTACCTGAAGGGCTTCTGATGACTGGAGAGACCACTCCCCTTCCTCCTTGGGACCCTGTGTCCTTCAGGAGTTTGAAATCTGGCCTTGGCAGATCATTCCGACAGCTGGACTGAAGGAGGCGGCAAGGATCGGATCCTCTAATAGGCAGATGAACACTCACAGGATGTCCTCAGGCCACCCGGGACCCGGGCCTGGCTGATGTCGGCCCCGTGAGCGCTGACACCCCGAGTAAACACGTGGAGGAAAGTTGTGGAAGGTCTTAGCACTGACCGGAGGGAAGGGAGGGTGGCTTGGCCGTGCGTGGTACAGAGGAACACCTCAGCTGCTTTACTGGACAGGGTGGAGAGCTGACGTCCACAGTCCCAGCCCAAAGGGACAAGGGATTGGGGGGTGGTGAGTTTTAAAAACAAGCTTGTGTCTTTGCAGCAGCAGCTGAGAGGAACAGCAACCAACCCCAAGCTCCCAGGATGACTCCGAGAGCTTGGATGTCACACCCTTGCAGCTGGTCAGGAGCTGGCGTCTCCTGCACAAAAGTATGAGCAAACTGTCCTGTTTGGTTTCAGTCCAGAGAGATGAGAAATGGGTCCTAAGCCAGGAGCTGACCTCACTGTCTCCTCTCAGGTGACGCCGGGCCCCTTGGCTGCCCGACAGAAACTTTTGGCCTTCTTCACTCTGTGTGTACCTGAGAATACAGGGGTCTCCCTTATTCTGTTTAAAAAATACTCTTAACTTTCCCAGCAGGTGCTTTGTCATCCCACAGGCTTGCGGAGTTAGTAATACAGAAATAAGCATCACTTCAGAAAACAGAGACAGCCGGGCTGAGAACTCTAAACCAAAACATGGGAAGTTCAAGGGAAAGTGAAAATGAAACAGTAATCTTACACTTTTTACATGATATCACACCTTAGCATTAAGGATTTTTTTGGACTTTTTCTTTTCTTAAATAGATGCTTTAAAAATAAATGCTTTTCACCTGCTGCCAGAAGCGGAAATAAATACCCAAAGGAGATGTTGATCGAAGTTTGCTTTTCTACAAATGTCTCAAGTGACCTTGTCCGCTTCTCCTGGACACGCTGGGGAAAGGCTGGCTGATGAGAGCAGTGGTGCCGGTGGGTCCTGCCACCCTGGGGCTGCCGGGCTCAGAGACCACGAGCCCAACCTTCTCCCTGAGGTGGCGCCTTGGTCATCTGGCTTTGCTGGGGTGTCTCCACCAGTCCCAGTCTGCCCTCAGGGAAGTGCAAAGTGAAAGTGGAATTCAGACGGAGCCAGGGAGCGCAGGGGTGGGTGGCGGAGATGGTCACTGGGGGCCTTGGAGGACTGCAGAAGCTCCCGATGTGGCTTTGGAGTCAGTGGCACTGGGTCCCTACCAGCGGGGCCACGCGCACAAAGGGAGGCCACTCGGCGCCGACTCAGGGCTCGGTGGGACCCGCTGGCCCCGAGCGAGCAGCCTCCTCGTCTGGGGTCACTGTGCCCTCTGCAGCTGGTGTGGCTGGCGGGGAGATGCCAGTGAGGGTATGGAGGCTGTGGGGGTCAACAGGTGGGACGAGGGTCAGCGACTCCACGCTCAGCGTGTCGGCAGTGTCCTCACAGAGCAGAGAGATGGTGGGCTGCTGGGCGGGGATGAGGCTGGGGGACAGGCTGACTGTCTCCACGTCCCCCCCGCTCTGTGCCAGGCTCTTGCTGGGCCTGGCGTCCGCTTCCGTTTCGTTGACGATCACCAACTGGTCGGGAAGGTTAGGCGGAGGCTGTTCCATCGTCATGGGGTCATCTGGGTGGGGGGAGGGAAAAAGGGACACTTAGCTTTGAGACACTCTGCGCCCACTGGCACCCTCTGCTCCCATCCTGAACAAAAGCCCAGGGAAACCCGGGTAGAGACGGTAGCTTTGAGGGAACCGCTCGCTCCACTTCCTCTGGGGCCACAGACGCTGGTAAATCCAGTCTGACCTAAGCCTGGGGAGAAGTCTGTGGGGGCCCAGGGTTACCCTCACTTGTGATACAAGGGGAACATGAGGGGCTCGTGTGACATCAACAAGCTCATTATGGAAGCACAGCTCCTGGGTGCTGGGACGCAGCCTGGGCGGGCTGCGTGTGAATGAGTCTGCCGGCACCTGCCTCACGATAAACACGTTTAGGGGCGAAATGGGCTTGGGCGTGCTTATCACTTCACGCCATTCCCAGTTTAATGTGGTAACATTTACCCAAGAGGGAACTCACTGCAATAGTAAAAAAAAAAAAAAAAGGAATTCTATAGAAACTTTTCAACTTGCAACACCAAACCCAAACCTCGGACTGTGGTTTGTCTCCTGCTCCTTCTGAAAGTGCTGAGTTAGCACGCAGTGACTGTGATGGCCGGGGCCATTCCCGTCGGCCACGGACAGAAACCAGGAAGGCAGGGAGGCTCTGTCCCATACAGTTATTCTCAGAGCGACTGTTTCCTTTTTTGTGCTTTTGAAAATCCTTGACCAGATGACAGACAGATGGCCTAATTTGCTTTCCAATGATGGGTCTGCCTGGACAGAAACACCAGCTATGATGGGAGTGCACCGTGGAAAACATCTTCTAGGATGTCCCATGCCAGTAATTTGAAGACACCGATAAAAAGGCTGTGGGCATCTCGCTTGGGGAGCAAGCTAATATTTGCACAGATCTTGGGGTTGACAAGCCTTCGGCAGAAGGTGCCAATGACACCGTGTTGAGCTACGAGCGTGAGCTGAGCTACGGGTCCTGGGAATGGTGGTAGCCTTTCTTTTGTTTCAATGTGATTCCAGTGAGTGGGGTTTTCTTCTTCTTATAAGTTAGGCCAAAACAAAGCAGAAGGCAAACTGAACACAGAGCGAAAGGAAGGAGAAACCGAGAGCAAAATAAAAGGGCACACAGAACAGAAGGGAGGACGGACGGGGCGAGAAGCCCCCTCGCGGGGGGGGGGAGCACACACAGCAGGTTGTCTCCCAAAGCACACGTGGGCGTTTCTTCCCACAAGACTCAGGCTAGACGAGCTCTACAGGTCCCAGTTAGTTTCTTTAGAAGGCCTTTCTTTATTAAAAAAACAAAACAAACCAGTAAGGCCAGAGACAACCACTGTGTGGGGCTTTGGGTACTGTGTCCTCGCTCTAGGAGGGTGGCAGCGGGGCACCGGTGAGCACGAGTGGAAAAAGTGATCTGACTGGGTGTGATCTGAGCCCAGGATGCTGAGCAAACACCCCACACGCATTCTGGTGTCTCTTGCGTGGAGACTGTGCTCCATTTAGTAAGGACGCCTGTGGCGATGGGCCGGTTTTAGTGCCCAGGGCCAGGTTCTGACCCAGCACCACCTGCCCGTCGTTTGTCACAACGTGTGGCCCTCAGAGAGGGGCTCACCTGCTCCAGTGGCCTCCACCTCCCTTCATGTAAGCGTGTCTGCGAACTCCTGTACACACGGACCCACACGTAAGCTCAGCTGCTGACGGGGCAGTTCAGAAATGACTAATTCTCCAAATGGCACTTTTGTGCCATCTGGAGACACAGCTGCGAGGCATTTCCTCCATGTTTTTCTCAGCACTTCTGTGTAAGAGTTCCCTCTTTGCTCAAGTTTCCATTTGCATGTGGATATTCAAAAAAGCTGGGAGGCAGTGTCCCTGACCCCTAGCGGGGTTTTTGGTGATGAGCATAATCAAGGAAGTGGGAAGAGTTCCCAACAAATGTATTAAAAAACAAACAAATCAACAAACAAGACCATACACACAAGACTGGTTCCCTCTGTAGGAAAAGAACCAGGAATTTTATTAAAAGGGCCCTTTCCCCTCCACCCCATAAAAATTGCTTAAGAAAAAAAATATCCTTCTCTTATCCATCACCTCCAACACTGCCTTACTTTTATTTATTTCTTTTACTTCCTTTTATTTCTAAAACTAAGAACCACTTCCTGAATGTGATCACATCTATCTATCCAAGGTGAAAAAAATGCAAAAACTTTGCCAGGTTTTCACCCAGGAGAAAATTATCCGGCGAGGACACGTTTTCTGGTCAAGTGCTGAGCTGCAAAGGTTGCCGCAGCTGGTGTTTTTGAGGTCTGGGGCCACAGGCTGGGGCTCGGCCAGGGAATGAGGGATTCGGAGCACACTGTGGCTTCCTGGCCAGGAGCCGGGGAGATGGCTGGAGGCAGGAGAGGGATGCTGGCTTCTCCGTGGCTCTGCCCCAAGCCGGCCATCAAGTCCCGGCCGGCGCCCTCAGAAGCCGATCTTTCGCTTTGGGGCAGGGGCTCAGCTGACCCTTGTCGAGCGAGGGACAGTTTCTAGTAGAAATCTGGGTGCGATGTGCTCAGTCTGGAAAAGGTGGGCCTGAGTGATGTGGGGAAGAAAGGAGCGGAACAGCAAAGATGGACAGCAAAGCTCAGAGGAAACAGCTTTTAAACGCAAAACATGGCAGAAGGCTCCTGACTGGCAAGCACAGCTCCCCGTGGGAGGGCAGGCGTGGGAAACCCTGAAAGCAGCGGGCCCTCCGAAGCGTTCTGCCGCGGGTCAGATCCAGCTCGCCGCTACACGGAGCACTATATGTACATGTACGAAGGGGGACGACCGCGTCACACCCATCGGTGTGTTTGTATGTGAAGTTACTTTTGGCCTCTGGTTGGAACATGACTTAGTTTTGAGCAAGGCCAGGGAAGAAAAAACAAACAAACAAACAAAGAAGCTGACTTCTTGGCTGCTTTTTGCAAGTTCTACTGCCCAGTCCTTGTGGCCCAAACTGGGGGCACCCTGGGAGGGCTGGGCTGGAAAACCCGTCTAGCTCAGGGCCTGTGGCGAGCCTGACACTGGCAGGCCTAGTATGTCACGGAGAATGACAGCGTTTCCAGGCTGCCCGGGTCTGGCTCAGAAGAACGGACACAAGGGTCCAGGGCCTGGGAATTTGGTCCTCAGATGAGATGAGGCCACAGCGGGATGGAGTGCCGGCCCACGGGGAGCGGGGGAGACGCCCACGTGGAGGATGGTTCCTGGGTCACAGCCTGGCATCCTGGGAGGCCCAGCTTGCCGTGCAGAGCCTGCTGACTGTGGGAACGCCGCGTGGCGAGGGGGCACCGTGGGCCCGAGGAGGCTAACGGAGGAGACCTGCCTGCATTGACTGTGCCCGAGGTGCCGTGACAGTTGCCGTTCGAAGCACTAAACCCAGTGGCCGCCGTGACTGTCGGCCTCCGACAGGCTGAACACTCGCCGGCGTCCTTTCCTGCCACTCCTGACTAGAGGGAAACACAGTGACAGATCATAGAAAGCTTTTAACAACAGGACAGAGAAAGGTGACACAGAACAGGGCACAGAGCAGAGACGGACACTAAGCATCGACGAGAGCGTGAGGGGAACAGGGACAGTGCCCCAACGGGTGCTGTGACAGCCCCCCATGCAGGGAAGACAGCCCCCCCCCGCCTCCCGCCCCAGGACCAAGTGGCATTGGGACAGCTAAGGACCAAATCGTTCGCTCGTGCGACTCAGTCGGCGTAAAGATGGCGATGGTTCGGTCCTGTTGGAAAGGAGAGAGCTGGGGCCATCAGCAACACCTGGTCTCGGTGAGAAACCTCAGGGGACAGAAGGACAATGCTGCCCATCAGTTTTCGATGCAAACCAGCAGTTAAGATGCAAATCTTGCATCTCTGGGAAGTCTGAGGAGGGAAGGCTTGTGTGGTTGAGGGACGGGGGCCAAACCAGCTAGCGAAACAAGATTTCTGACCCAACTGATAAGGCCGACGGCTCTTGGTGTCACCATGCCAACAACACAGGTCTGTGAGCTCTGGGAAAGCCTTAGACGGGCGAGGCGCCCCGAGACCCCCCTCCCCAGCCACGAGGTGACAATCTCCAGGTGATGCTCTGGTGACCGGAACCTTTGAAAACCAAGACTGAACCACGGAAGGAAGATCTGAGATCAGGTGCCAAGCGGCCAGGGGGCGGGTTCTTATCGGCTGAAACAAACATGTTAGGAGCATCTCACTGGGAAGGAAGAAACCATCATCTCTGCGACAAGCTGGGGGTCACAGCAAAGCTCAAAGTTAAGGCCACATAACACAACACGGTGAAAGTACCTAGGGCCACTGAACTACAAACTTAAAAATGGTTAAAATGGTACATTTTATGTTATGTATATTTTACCCCAATTTAAAAATCAGTTAATGCCACGGAGAAAACTGGGGAGAAAAGATAACACATCTTTCTCACGTTTCTGTCCTTAGAAGTCCTGCCTGACTGGTAACCAAGCTCAGTGACACGTGGGTCAGTCTGGGGCTGTCTGGCTGGTTGGCCCACGTGGTACTGTGTCCTGAGGTGAACGCTGTGCGTTCAGACAATCGGCTCGGGAGTGGGTGAGGACAGGGAGGGACGGCTGGCAGAGCAGAACCCAGCCCGTCAGGCTCCCAGCACTGGGCCACCAGGAACCCAAAGTCTTGTTTTCTGCTGACTCTGGGGAAGAGTCACAGTGGCCACGGCTCCTAATTCTCTGGGCCTTAACAATGGACACTGGAACGAGAAGGCTGGCTTCCCTCGGACTTCGCTTTTGAACAAACAATTTTCCTTCCTCCTCAGCGTTAACTCACCCAGAACCCGTGTGACCTGCAACCGATCTGCTGATGGGAGGCACACGTGGCTGGTTAAGAAACCCGGTATGGGTCACAGAGCTGTCATCTGAGGAGACGGTTTTCTTATCAGAATCTCTATGCACAGCATGCGCGTGAGGGAGTGTGTGTGCATTTGTGTGTGTGTGTGTGTGTGTGTGTGTGTGTGTGTGTTCATCATGATATGTGTGCACAGGCATAACTCAGTAAATATTTCTAATGTGTTCCTATGGGTCCTACATTTGGTTCCAAAATTGGGTCTATTTTCTCTTTCCCGCCATATGCTCTCAGCAATTTCAGCTTCTCAAAACCATAAAGTGTTTAAGGAAAAAAAACTGCTGATGCCAACCCTGTAATTTTCTCACTGGGGAGCAAGCTGAGGTCTCTCAGGCCGGCTCTGCCAGTGAGCGGGCGACGAGACGCCGGGTTCCCGGTGCCTCCCGGGAAAGGCATGAAGATCTCAGAGCACTTTCTTGAAAGAACAGTGGGGACAGGTCAATGCATGCATCGGGTGTTAAAACCAGGTAAAGTCCCCTCGGCACACCGTTAACAGGTAAATAATTGACGATGAAAATAAAATCCCTCGCTCCCGACTCTTTCTGGCTGATTCCTTTGGTTACCAGGGGATTCAGTTTTGACCTTTCCTTCAGTCTGGGATGGGCAGTGCCTGCTAAAAAGCCACTCACAAGCGTCTACAATCTGCTCTGGAGTGTGGAGGGGACTAGGAAGCAGGCGCTCCCAGCGCAGAGGGCGTCTTAGCGCACCCCTCTGGTGGTCCGTCCTCTGCCGGGGGGCCTGCAGCCACCACTGGGTCACAGGCCTCGATCCGGATGGGCACGGGGACGGTTTCTCAAACACAGACCACCCCCTGGTCTGTCTTTTAGGGCAGAATTTACAGGTAGACCCTGGGGAAATGGGGGAAAGTTATCAGCTTGTCTCCTGCCAGATTCCAGGCTCTTTTTGTGTGCGACCCATAAGCTGCCTTCCTCACGGAGCCCTGGCCTCGTTCACCTGTCATCATTCGGCTTCATTCCCCAGAGACGCCTCCCCTGGGGACTTCCGGCCCCTCCTGCAGCTGTTCAGTGCTGTCCGAGACCCCTGCACATTTCCTGTGTCACAGGTTGTAACTGGACACTTATCTGTGTGGTTGTCTGATGGACCCCGGCCTCCCACGCTTTGCTACCCTGTATCCCCAGTGCCTGCCTACAGTAGGGACTCTACAAAAACCTGTCTGTTAGAAAAAGTTGATGCAGTGGCGGTGGGGTACCAAGGCCGAGGCAGAAAAGATGAAGAGAGATGAGCCACTAAAAAGGATGAGGGGCTGGTGTGGGGCCAGGCTGATGGAGGGACCCTGCTGAGATCAGGTCTGACATCCACCGAACCTGAGTGAGTGGCTCAGACTGAAGGCCCCACGGGGAGCTGAGAAAATCTGCACTTAGGGTAAACACGAGCCGCTTTCAAACCCAGGCAGGAAATGCAAGGTCTCCTGGGCTGGACAGAGGGTGGACGGGGAACCACAATGGGGCATCAGAACGGTTTCATGCCCTCATTTGGGGACGAACCCATTTGGGCTGACAGAGGAGATGTGGTTATCTGGGGTCCACTGTGCTGCTGATTTGGGGGACCACCAGCTTCCCTGCACAGGGGCCACACAGCCCGGCCTTTGCTGCCTGGGCTGCACAGTAACCGGGCCTCTGTGGATGGGCTGGGCTTTTCATTTGGGCTCTAGAGCAACTGTGCACATTGGAAGGAGACAGGTGTGCGCCTCACGGGCTGCCCTGAGCCGGGGTCCGAACCTGGGGTCCAGGTCTCTGGGGCACCCCTTGGGGGTACCCGAGACCGATGGATGAACCCCATTGGTATTCTGCTGGGCTGTTCCGGAAGGTGGATCACGGGCCTTGGAGTTGCCAGGGCTTGGGCTCACCGCTGGCTCCTGCGCTCACTGCAGCATCACCCAGCCAGGCTGCACGACCTCTCTACGCCTCCGCGTTTTCAATTGTACAGTGCGAGGTGGGATTCACACGGGGCGTCTGTGAAGTGCTTCCGAGCACAGTGTCTGCCACGTGTGGGCTCAGTTTGGGAGGAGCGTCTACTGGGACGCCACGCAGCGTGCAGTGGGCGCCCACGCTGTAAGTCGACTGCTGAAAAAGTGTGAGGGCCACCCTGGCTTTATGTACATCCTTGGACAACTCCAGGTTTCAAAACTGTGGAGCAGAGCAGAAAACTGGGCCTGTCTCGTCCCCCGGGGATGGCGTCTCTCGTGTGTTTTGCCAACCCAACACCTGACTGGGCAAATGTGGCTTTAAGAGCAAAGAAGCCACTGGGGTTGCTAATTCGGGCTGCAGAGGGCATGGCAGCTGCTTTCCACACTAGGGACTTCCAGGACTCAGAGGTTCTGGAAACACAGGGATTTAGGAATGCTTCTGATTCAGCACTGTGCCCTCAAAAACCGCTTTGAGGACAAGTGGCCCCTTGGCTGGGCTGCAAGGAGAGGCCCTGGCCCCCACCGCCCTCCCCGCCGCCTGGCCGGCCCTTCCAAGGGTGTTGCCTCTGGCAGATTGTGGCCAGGCCCCGCGGGTGGAGAGTCTGCTGAGCAGGCAGCATGGGGCCAGTCTGTCCAAATCAGAAGCCTGAACACTGAGCCACCACTCCCGGCCGACGGCAAGCCAGGCAACTGGCTGAAGGGCACCCGTCCCAATAAAACCTGCCTCCCTTCTTCCATCCTTGGCTTCCCATCCAGCATGGCTTGGTGAGATGCCAGGCACATGTCAGGGCCATCTGGGTAGACCTGTCCCTACAGGGAACGTGGAAACCCCATGTGCTGTCCTCTGGATGGACCGGGGTGGGGTGGGGTGGGGTGCTGAGGGGTGACCTGGAAGTTGGGTATCGAGAGGCGAGTGAATGGCGGGCCTCCCGAGACCTGCCCCCCAGCTCGTGGGCTTGGGGACAGAGCTGGCTCCTGTGGCCAGGCACCTGTGACATGGAGGCACTCATGCGCTCTGAGGCTGTCTCCTAAGGATCAATAGCTGGGTCCTCAGTTGAGTCCTCATTAGGAGGTGAGTTATTTCAGTGACTGCAGAGATTCAGACAGGCAGGCTGGGCCTCAGGCTGTCACTATCAGCAGCGTAAAAAATGGGGCCTCCCACGCTGGCCTCTGCAGGCCTGCTGGGGACAGGCTGAAGGAGCAGGCACCTAGGAGGGCCTGACCGTCACTTACCGACCGGAATTGCCTGGCTACCCGACAGCCAGGCTAACAGCCCCTGGGTTTCTGAGACAAGGAGATGTGTCATTGGCACCGTGTGCAGGGGCTGGTGTGGGTGGGGAACACATGGGTCTCTGCTGGTTTCAGTTTGAGGCAAGGCAGTGTGTGGCTCATGGTTTGCTTAGCTATTAGCGGCACCTCCTTAGAAATGAAAGGCGCGCATGGCTACACCAGGAAAAGACCTTTCATTCGAAACGCAATTGTAAGTGTACGGGGTGCACACAACACAGACACAGAGACGTGCACAGGCAGGGCGTACAGGGGCGCACACGTGAGCACACAAACGCACAGCTCTGCACTCTGGCCCCCCAGGGCCAGCACGAGGCCAGGCTGAGGGCTGTGCTTGGCTTCTGGGGGACTCTGTCTGAGCTTCCCAGCTACGGGCCTGGGAACGGCAGTGGCAACTCTTTGGATGTGCAGCCAGCCTTAAATCAGGCTCAGGAATAGCTCAGAAAAGGCAGTCAGTCTTCTCCCCCCGACTGGGGCAGGTAGAGGAGCAGGTGCCGAGTGGACAAGGGTCTGCGTGAGATGGCTTGAGGGTGACCTTGCTGCCTGGGCCTCGTGAATGGCAACAGGAGATGGAAGTAATGGATGCTTGTGGAGGTGGGAGGGGGTGCGGGCAGGCTGAGGCGCCCTGAGCCACAGGCATGGAGAACAGGCTGGCTTTACCCTTTGCTGGGGACCGCCGAAGCGGAAAACTCCAGAGCAGTGAGGGCACCCAAGGAGATCTCTGCTCTGGAGTGGAGATTTCCCTGGCACTGAGGTCACTTGTGCCCTGGCACGATGCTTTTGTTATGACCCGTCGAGCCATAGCTTAACAAGAGTTTGGTCAGGTACCCTGAAACATGATGGATGAGGGCTCTGATGGGACTTTGCAGGAACAGCGAAGGGCACTGAGTGTCCCCCAATGGGGGTACAGACCACAGTCACCAGGGCCCTGCAGACGATGGGGTCATGCCGCTGGGGTGTGAATTATCACACACTCAGGGCCACTGCCGTCCCTGCTTGGGCCCCGCTCCTCGGACTGCGTTTTAGGGCCACGTTGTTCAGGAAACAAGCCTGGTGTTGTTATTGCTGGGGTCGTACGCAGAGCGAGGGGCTCACGTGTGAGGGGCTCATGGCAGCTGAGAGCACGGGGTGGAGGGGACACCCACTCACACGTCCCATTCCAGGCTCCCTGCTCGTGGGCTCTGTGCCACGTCTGCACTTGCATAAGTTAGAGGAGGGCAACCTATGACCCTAGCACCTCCTGACACTCTCAAAAGGCTGGCACGGTGCAGCCACGGTCACAGACGCCTGGACTGTACCAAACATTCAAACAGGAAACTAGTAGGTTATGGAGGAAAAAATAATTAGCAGGGATACAATTCATTTCCAGGCTTCAAACCACCGCGTCTGGCAGACCCCTGCTTGTGACATCTAAGACTTTGGAGGTGATAGGGGGGTAGGTTCAGGCCCGGCCTGCCTGCTGTCCGTGCCTCCAGCTCTGCGGTCAGGGAAGGCCTTTCAGGGGACCAGCCTGCAAGAAGAGTGATCCCTGCCCTGCAGGGGTCTAAACCGGCTGGTCCATGCACGGCATCAGGGTAGAATGAATGCGGAACCCTGAGTGGCAGTGTTCCCAGACACGGCAGCAAGGAGAAACTGGGTATCAGTGGTGTCGACGTTGAGGGATGACGGGCTCCCCAAAGTCCCTCCCACACTGTGTCACGTGGCCAATACCTGATGGGCTCTGGGCAACAGAGGGTGTGGACGATGAGCTGGCACCTCCTGAGTCACAGTGGCTGGTGGTCCCGCTGCCGCTGGGGCTCCCGCTGGCAGACGGCGATGGTGAGGACAGAGACGGCGAGCTGTGCTGGTTTATGCACTGGGCCACGGCAAAGCCTGCAAGACACGGGGGCCACATGACCAAGCGGAAAACGAGCCAGCCTGGCAGGAGGGGCACCACCGCCCAGCTGTGTGGGTCCCTGTCGGGCAAAGCCCCACCTCACAGGTGAGGTTGGGACCTTAATGTAAATGCCATGTTAACCAACCTAAACCCAGATCCCTGGAAGTCTGGGTCAGCTCCCCGGAAAGAGCTGACCTCACTGGTCATGGGACTGACCCAGACACACTTTGAAGCTGTTTCAAGGAAAACAGGGCAGCCAGCCATCGAGCCGAGTTCAGGGCTGGGAAGCTGTCAATTTAAGTGTCAGATGCTGGCTCAGCAAAATGCTGGATGTGCCCTTGGAGGGGATGGGGTCACTCAGCCACAGGACTGCAGAGACATCCTGGCGAAGTTCACACGGAGATGTATGACGCCCTCATGGCAAAATCAGGGGGCCTTTGCTAACGCGCCCAAATTCTGCCAAAGGCAGGGCACCAGACATGGAGCAGGTGTGAGGGGGAAGAGCCCCCGAGACCCCCTCTGCCAGAGAATACTGTGCTCCGTCCTGGCAGGTCTGGTGAGTTTGGTGCGGGGAGGATAAGAGCTCTGGTGAAAAGCTACCAACTACAGTCACGCACCACATAAAGACATTCTGGTCAACGATGGCTGTCCCGTAAGATTATAACGGAGCTAGGAAATTCCTATCGACTAGTGACATTGTCATAGATGTCACAGCACCCCCAGTTCATCACGCACGTGTCTGTGGTGATGCTGGTGTAAACAAACCTACTGTGCCGCCAGTCGTAGAAATTTTGCACAGGACATAATACTTGGTAGTGATAATAAACGACTCTGTTACTATACTTTACTATACTTTTTATTGTTATTTTAGACTACTCTTTCTACTTATAAAAAATAAAATTTGTGCTAAAACAGCACGCCGTGTTACACGGGGAGCAAGCAGCTCATATACCCCGTGGTTATGACGTCTCTCGACTGAATCATCTTCTCTTGTGCTTGACTTAGCCTCGCGCTGGTAGCCCAGGAGCAAGAGGCCACGTCACACAGCCTAGGTGTACATCAGGCCACACCACACAGGTTTGTGTCACTCCACGATGTTTGCATAGTGATAAAATCACCTGATGACGCATTTCTCAGAGCCTATCCCCACCGTTAAGCAGAGCGTAACGGTACGAGGGTTTCACATGGCCCTCAGAGCAATTCCGGGCTTGGAGATGCAACGACACATTTCTGGGGTCTGTGGCCCTCCCAGCACAGGGGAGTGCACCAGCTCCACGTTTTGGAGACACTCAGGCCTGGGTAAACCCTGCGTCTCCATGAGGAAGCACCGGAACACACGCCCAGTGTCGTTTCCCAACTGCTACCTGTCATCTCCACTGTGGTGGGGACACAGTGACAGAGTGTCCATCAGTGACCGAGTCCATCAGACTCCTGCACAGGGCTCGGCACACGGTGAGAGCACCGTATTCTATGATGAAAGCAGGTCTTTCTGCACGAGCCTGCCCCGGGGCCCCTTCAGGGGATAGGTGCTTTCCGCAGACAGTGACACTCTGCTTTCTAAAGTTTGGGCCACAGCTTCCGATTTTCTTCACCAAAAACATGAAAGCTCCATGGAACAGGAGCCTTGTTGATGATCCCAGGAGCCTGTGCAGACCGTGGTGGTTCCTGCTTTAGTGCCTGGGAGCTGGTCCAGGCCACAGTGCTCTGTGGACCCCCTGGCTTCTGCCCCATAATTCAGAAGCAGCACCAAGTAGGGATGGGGGGCAAGTCCTTCCAGCTGAAAGCGGGGACCCCGATTGTCTGGCCAGCCACATCAAGCCTCTCTACTGCCCGAGCGCACTCACCCCAGCCGGCCCCAGACCCCACCTGCACCTCCTGAACCTTACACAGTCAGCTCCGGCTGACACTTCTTCCAGAAGGTTCTCCAGGCCGTGACCTTGCCTTTCCCAGGCCTCAGGAAGGCGGCAGGGTGTTGAGTAGGGGTCAGCAAACCATGGCCCGCTGGCTGGTGAATAGTTTTATCGGCACAGCCATGGTCCTTTGCTTACACACCGTCTGTGGCTGCCTGAGCCACACCAGCAGCGCTGAGTAGCTGCGCAGAAGCCGCCCGGGCCGCAAAGCCTGGACTGCTTCACTCTCTGGCCCTAAATAAGCCTGGCAGACGATGGAGCAGGGGCTCCGGCTCCGGGAAAGCCTCAGTTCTATTCCTGGTCTGCTCACTCACCAGCCACGGGGCTCTGGGCAAGTCTACGCTTCCCCGAACCTCTTTCCTTCACCCAGTGGTAGGTGGGTGCGGGGCCTGGCTGAAAGGAGTGCTATGTGTGCCAGGGACCTGCCGCTCTAGCTCCCCGTAGGACTCAATGGGACCCCACGCCTGGCCACCACGGAGGAGCTGTTTTGTACTGATGTTTGTGTGAAGTTATTTCTGTGTAAGGGTCAGCGGCTTAAGAGCCGGTGTCTATTTATACCCCAGCCAGGCCCTCCTGCTTGGGGTGAAGTAATGGAGGCCAACGTGAGGCCTGGTGGGAGGTATGGCGGGTAGATTCACCAGCCCCTCTTTTGTAGGGAATGGTAGTCTCCACCCCCACCTACTGCGGAGGTCTGCTTGCTGAGAGGAGAGCAGGATTAACGTGCTGGAGCTCTCAAAAAGAGGGACTGTGTGATATACAGGGGTGGGGGCAGGGAGGGGGCTGAGATGAACGATGACAAACAGAGACATCCAAACACCAGCCAGGAAGCTCCCCAGGGGCGACCAGCCACAGCCCCACAGAACAGGCTTTACAGCTGCTCACTTCTTAATCACTCCAAGTGGTAAACCCCCAAGTTCACAAGCTGTTTACTTGCCTCGAAAACGAGTCGCCCTTCAACAAATCAAAATGTCAAGATGGCTTTTCCCGAGCCACCTATTTATCAGAGCATGAGCGGGGGGGCCTGCGAGGGTGGGAACAGTTAGGACGAAGCCTCCTACCCTCCCGACAACGCCTCAGCCCGCACGGATGAATGATGGGGCTGTCACCAGGGTGGTCACGCACCCCTTCACTTAAGACACACGGCTTCTCTCTCACACTCTTTAAAGCCCTGGTTTATTACCGTAAGACACCTGGGTTGGGGTTGGGGGGTAACCCCAAAGACCCCGAAGGTGGAATTAGGCTTCTTAAATTTCTTCCGTTTGGGAATGGACTGGGGTCAAGCCATCAAGCCACAGGTTGGCAATAAATACTGCACACCTTTTGTATGTTAAATAGACACATAAGAGTTAAACAGAGAAAAAAATATCATCAAGCTCTGATAACACCCGTTTGCAGGGTCTAGCTGAGCAGAGACTAACCATCTCTCTCCATCACCTGCTGCTACTAAAAATGTACCTCCCTCCCTTCCCCACCTTTATACTCTCCCCTCCCCGCCCCCACGGCACTGGGACCCCAGAAAGGCTCAGTGATGTGGTGGTTTTATTTATTTTTTTTTGTCGTTTTGTTTTTTGCTGGGTGCTCAGGTTCCTCCTGCAATTTCAAGGGGCTCCTTCCCAAATCGAGGTATTGACTATTTTGAGTCAGTGTGACAGGTCAGAGGGTCACGCGGTCTCTGGAGAGCACTGAGGACAAGGACTGTGGCCGCAGCGCCCGTCCTCCTGTGCCACGTCGCGGCAAGACAGCGCCTGATGAACTCACTTTGGCGGAGGACCCAAGGGGCTTTCTGGGCGTGAGTCAAAGGCACACGGGCTGCTTAGTACGTGCACACCCCGACGAGCCAGAGGTCACGCGACAAGGGCACCCGCGAAGAGGCCTCCCTGAGAGCTTCAGCTGGGAAAATTCTTGCCTCTGCTCACGAAATGTCTATTAAAGGCCATATGGACTTTCACACCATCTGACTGATTCCGCATCCAGAAATTTCTGCCCCACAAAGTACTGTGGGGTGGACCCACAGAGTGAACTACGCAGGTGTTCAAAGCACAGGTGTGTATAACAGAGAGCTGGACACAACCACAATATTCCAACCATTAGGGAAAGGCCAAATAAACCCTAATCGGCCTAGATGATAAAGTCCTCTGCTGCTGATAAAAACGCTGCTATAAAAGAAGCTGCAGTGCAGAGGGAAACGCTCAAGACATAGTACATGAAAACAGGCTAGAAAAAAAACATGTCCCATGTGCTCCCAATGTGGCAAGAAAATAAGCTGAAGTCATAGGGTTTTATTATGGTGAGTTTTATTTTTATTTTTTGTGCTTGCCTGACTTTTCCAAGATTCCTACTATGAATATTATTTTAAACCAGGAAAAGAAGGCAGGATGAAGGAAGGGACACGGGCTGCCTGGGAGCTGGACAGGCTCACGTCCCGGGTCCCTGACACAACCCTGGGATCTGCTCTGGCCTCCAAAGCTCCCTGCCCCAGGCTCACGAAGAACACCCCCAGAGCCGGGGCCGGGCGGAGTGCTCCAGAGGCAGGTGGTGGACCTGCACCAATGGCGAGCCGCGTCCCCAGCTTTCCAGGAGCCTGGGTTTCCCAGGCGCAGGCCGGGTCTTCCTGCTGCCCTCAGGCCCCGTGCTGCCAGTTATTCTGGGAAGATGAACTCATGAGTAAGACTCTGGCATTTGTCAAGTACAAAAATACAACAAAAAGGTCAGCCTTCGACTTGAGATCCACTGATAGAAGGAGCACTGGGCCGGGAGTCAGATCCCCAAGTTCGAGTCCTAACTCGGCCCGAACGGCTTTGTGACCTTGGACAAGCCCCCCTCTCCTCTGTCAGGGAGGGTCTCTTGGCTTACATGAGCCGTAGTTTTCTTTTTACCTATAAGTCTGAATCTGATTTGAACTTTATGAGAAGACACTGAAGAATGCACCTTGAATCTACTGTGCACGCACCCTTTCCCCTTTGGGTAGACCACCCGCTAAAGCTCTCCCCACGGAGCACCAGGGTGCTGTGTGACCCAGGATCCAGAGCTGCCACAATAGCCCAGGAGCTTGCAGATGTGATATGCTTGGCTCACATCATGTTTGT